TCCGTCGATGGGCCGGAGGCTTGCCCGGGTACTGCAGCGGCAGCCGACTGGGCAGCAGCCAACTGTTGGTTGAGCGGGAGCGGCGGCAACACTGGAATTGCCCGTGTTGGACCGGTGATACAGAGGAAAGTTCTGCGCGTTGTTTTCCGGGACCTTCTTGCGACCGGGCTGGTTGTTGGACGAGGCCTTCTTCCGGATCTCGGCGTATTCGTCCCGCTCCGGACAGGCCTTACTCGTGGCCTTGTGGGCGGAACCGCATTTGGCGCATGTGGGAGCGGCTTCCTCGATGCTGTCGCAGTCGTCGATCTTGTGGTTTTTGCCGCATTTGATGCAGCGGCTGGCCATGCGGCAGTTCCTGGTGTCGTGCCCGAACAATAGGCAGTTCAAGCACTGAGTGACGCCACGGTGGGTCGGCTTATACCGCAAAAAGATGGTGTAAGCCGAAGAGCTTGGACTGTTAGACCACTTTCCTGACCATTTTACTGTCCATGGGACCACTTTTACGACCACTCCCCCTTCCTTCCTTCCTTCGGGCACTCAGACGCTCCTTGAAGGTTCTTATCACACGAGACACAGTTGTATTTGCAATTCCAAGCTTTTTAGCGATCCATCGGTGGGACGTCTCTGGATTTTTTAGTATGTGGACCAATTTTTTTCACGGACAATTTCTTGTTTCAACGATGTTTCGCCTACCGCCGAAAGAGAGGAGAAAACGACGACCAATCAGCAACGAGCAAACGGTCGATGCCGTTCTATAAAAATCCCCGCAGTAGCGTGCTTAAGTTAAGTTTGAATCCAACCGAGCATCAGTTCCCAGCAGCAGCAGCTGTAAAACGTTGTATTAAGAAGCAAAGACAAATAAAACAGTAGTGTCTACTAGTGTAGTCGGCAGCATTCGTCATTTCTACTGCATGTCCCGGAGAGCAGCGTCACACCCCTAGCTCTTTTCAGAGCTCCTGAGTTTAGAACTTCGATTGACGCTAGCCAACTCCGTTCGCTCCCGCCCAGTACAGTCCACTTCGCCTTGACAAAACCAGTTCAGAAGGAACATCAATTTGGTTCGTCACGAACCGGATCACGAGCCATTCCGAAGCAACCGCTCCCGTTGAGTGGAAACTGACGTGCTACGACACACAAACTATTTGAAATACGCCGCGTAGTGAGTGAGGTGTCATAAATGGCACCAGGAGACGCTGAAGAAAACCAGCAAGGGAACCCTATCCCTAGGTCACCAGTTAGCAGTTCCGGTACATTTCACGGATTCGAGTGGGAAGCAGCAATGGATCCTGAATCTGCAAAACAGTGGCAGGGAATATCCAGGCAACGTGAACAAGTGAAGCAAAAGATTGTGCTCATTCGGCGTTCTCTCATTAGTGGAAAACCACCGTATGTCCAAGCATCTGTCCGTTGTGTACACCGAGTACAGTGGATTCCACAGCAAAGGTCTGGTGCTTCTCCCAGATGATGCGCTGGACGAGCAGGAACATGAATATGCCAACTTCGAAGATCTCTACAACAACGTTACCGATGCCGTACAGGAGTTGTTGCTGCCACGCGGTCACTGCATCGCCGAGAACCGTCCATAACTCGCAGGTGGTCGTCCATCAGCAGCCGCTCAGCGCACCAATTCCAACATTCGATGGCAATTACTCTGGGTGGCCTAAATTCAAAGCCGTCTTTCAGGATTTGATGGCTCACTCGGGGATACAGACGCCATAAAACTGTATCACCCCGATAAGGCGCTCATCGGAGATGCAGCTGGTGTTTTGAATACCAAGATCCTTAGTGAAGAGAATTATCAACAAGCTTGGGACAATCTGGAGGATCGCTACGAAAACAAGTGGGTTCTCGTAGAAACCCACATCCGTGGGCTGTTTTCACTACGAGAGATGTCATCGGAGACCCATAAGGAGCTGAGAGGTCTGCTAACCGAAGTTACTCACCACGTCGAGAGCCTGAAGTTCCTCCAGCAGCAGATCACTGGGGTTTTAGAGCACATGATTGTGTATCAGGTCGTCTCCGCGCTCGACAAATCGACCCGCAAAGCCTGGGAAGGGATCCAGAAAAAAGGACATCTTCCCAAATACGAACCAACCATCGCCTTTCTGAAGTCCAGGTGCCAAATCCTCGAGAATTGTGAGGTGGCTTACCAGACTAGCAAATCCAGCTCGAAACAGAAGCAAGCTCTTCCACCATCAAAGATCCATCCGCAAAAGAGCCATGCAGCATCGACCAGCCCATCCCAACCGACGAACTTGTGCGAAATTTGTGGTGGTTCTCACCGCAACCACCAATGCTCGGCCTTGTCCAACCTTACTCCTGCCCAAAAGAATGAGAAGATACGAACTACTGGAGTCTGCTGCAACTGCTTGCGCAAAGGGCATCGATCCAAGGATTGCCCTTCCGACAAGTCGTGCCAAAAGTGTCAACGCCGACACCACACGTTGCTCCATGATGATGGGGCACCCCGCTATGAGAAGAAGTCCAACGTTTCCGCGGAAGCAGTGGCAAGCCCGCCTCTGGCTCCGGCTGCTCCGAATCAACCGATGTCGGTGCAGACGATTCCTGCCCCAGTGGATCCACCAGTGTCAACAACCTGTTCGTCGAATGTTGGCTCATTTCCCAAGACGGTACTGTTGCTGACCGCAGTGGTACATGTCTTGGATAAAGATAACCAGCCGTATCCGTGCCGGGTCCTTTTGGACACCGGCTCCCAAGTCAAATTTGTAACCGAAGAGATGGTTAACCGCCTTGACCTCCCAAAGAAACCAGCCAACGTTCCGATCGTGGGAATCTACGCCCTACGGTCCCTCGTCCGCGACAAGGTGGTGGTCAGGTTCCAGTCCCGTGTATCCAATTTCCACGCAAGCCTCGAGTGTCTGGTTACCCCGAGAGTGACCGGCACGATCCCTACATCGAGAATAGACATCACCAAATGGACGATCCCTGAAGGGGTAATCCTAGCTGATCCCAAGTTTCACAGCCCGGATAAGGTGGACTTGCTGATCGGTGGGGAGTTATTCTTCGATATCCTGAAACCTGGTCAGCTGAGCCTAGCCGAAGGTCTTCTTCAATTGCGAGACACTTATCTGGGGTGAATCGTAGCAGGTGCCATCAATGATAAGCTCGTGTCAAACGTGTCACTCCAATCCAACCATTTGTGGGATAGTTTACCTATCCGGGAAACAGTTCGTTTATGGTATTTGTTTATTAGGGAAGAATGACTTCAACGAGCTAAGGTACCTCATATTTATACCTGCTAACCTATCAAAAATCTCTAACCAATAAAATTCCATTTACATGCGGTCTATCACGCTTCACGCTCACTCGATTCTACTCATTATTTATTCAACACTAACTCTATCTACTACATTCTTCCCCTCTTCTACTCTCCTTAATTGAGAAAGAGGGGCATTATATCCAACCATTCGGGGGAATTTCATCTACCCTCTCAGAGAAATTTGTCGAATCCATCAGGTCATAATTATCTTCAACCTTGCCACACTGAAATTTATTTCAAATTTTTCATTATCTGTCATCCTTATTCATCCAAATGACTATCTATATCAATGTGACCATTGAAATCAGTGTCACCAATTTCAACCACGTACATGAATATTACCGTTCTATTCAAGTTTGCGATGAGCTAAAGTAACCATCCATTAGGTCATGGTAAATTTCTTCACTTTACTTTTCCATCCATCATGTCGTATCCATTACTATTTACCATCAATCAGGTCATGGTAATACTTAACCATCCACTATACTATCTATTTTGCCTTGAAGTTTTCTCGCTTCGTAAAATAATAGATATTTTGCCTCGGAGACCTTTAACTCCAGAAATTTTCAAGAATTCTTATTATTTTTTAAGCATAGTTTACCATCCTTCATGTCATGGTAAATTTCTTCAGTTTACATTTCCATCCATCATGTCGTATCAAATTCTATTTACTATTTAATTGTAATTCTTATTTAACATCATGGTAATTGTTAGGGAAAGTTATATCAATAATTGTGTGCGTCACTGTAGAGTAAGGAATCTGATAATGAGTGACCACGAACGCACGACCGTCCTTGTGTATGTAGCCGAGAGCAATAAGCTATCAGTGATACGCTCTTACAGCATCACCAATAGGTAGTTAGTTAGTTACCCATCGACCGCCGACGGTACCGATCGACCGTGTGATCACGTCGTGTATAAAAAGAATTACAGTCCATTTCGTCAAGATATAAGTGCGTTTTAAAATATAGTTCTTCTTGATCGTATCACCGGGTTTATTAAGTGTTTAGTCCGAACAAGTGACTCGCGGGTGCGCACGGATTGTGCAAACGGGGAAATACCCAACATTTTGGTCCTTCGAGCCGGATTAGCCAGACCCGTGAGAAACGCGTTCGGTGATAGTGCGTGTCGCTTGGATTCGATACCGGTCATCGAACTACCAGACAACAGACCAGTAGCGTCTAGTTGGTCTACGCTTTGTCCTGCTGGCGTGGTGACGCCAATCGAAAAGTGAAGTGATTGACCGGGCGGTGACCCTGGTCGAAGAGAAAGGGTGAAATTTGCTGGTGATTCTTTGCCGTCGCTTCTGTGGCAATTGTGGTTACATGTGTGGTAGCAGATTATCCAGAGGATCGGAAGCATCGCTCGCTGTTTCTGCGGACCAACATTCCTGTACCCAAGGCCCAGGGTGGACATCTGGAGATCATCGAAATCAGATAAGTACAGTGTGTGTGCGAGATTGTGTGGTTGAGGTGGTCTGGCTTGGCTTGTATTTGCGCCAACCAGTGAAAGCTCTACTGAAGGTAGAAGCATTCAAAGCTCCTGATGAGCATAAAATTGCATGCAAGATTATACTTGAGCCAGTAGAACTGTGGAGAACGTGTTTGGGCTTCTCCGGTTTGATAATTTATTGCCTTTGAAGGCACAATTTGTGATTGCTGGAAAGTGATTAATTCACGTTGATAATTTTGGCCTGTCGTCAGTCAATTCGTTCGGTCGCTTGAGGTCTCGGGAGTGAGTTGTGCTTCAGTGAAAAGGTGAATTGAATCCAGTAATTATGCCAGTGTCTGATCTGAGAGCGCTTGTTAAGCAGGAACGTCATGCTTGGATTACGTTGGAGAACATTGAAGAGTTCTTATCAACGTACGAAGAAGAACGTGATAGAGGTGTAGTGCAGTTTCGTATGAAGAAATTAGATGAAGTGTACGATAAATATTGTGAAGTGCGGGTGAAAATCGAAGTTCTCACTGATGACTTGGGTGTTGATGAAGGCGCTGAGGATGCGACTGGCGAAGGATCTACAGATCATGTGTCCATGGCTGAGGCACGTCAGAGGGAAAACGAGGAGATTTTCAAGGAATTTGAAAACAAGTACTTCCGATTGAAGCAGCAACTAAATTCGAAGTCGGTCGGAAACTCTGGAGTTGTAGCTGAACGGCAACCAGGAGTCGAGGTTTGCCAGCCGTCGAGGATGAAGTATCCAGAACTGAGGCTTCCTACGTTCTCTGGTAAGCTGTCTGAATGGATTAACTTTCGAGACAACTTCAAGTCGTTGATACACGACAACAACCAACTGAATATGATAGATAAGTTCAACTATTTACGTACGTCGTTGAAGGACGACGCTCTGCTACAAATCAACCAGATTCAAGTCACTGCTGCGAACTACAATCTTGCTTGGGCTACTCTGGAATCTAAGTACGAGAATCATAAGCTCATCGCACAGGAACATATGAGGACAATTTTCTCGATTCCACCAATGAAATCCGAGAGCTTCCAGGGGCTGAACCATGTCCTAACAACATTCAGAATCAACCTTCAACAGTTGGAGAAGTTAGGAGAGAATACTAACGATTGGAGCACTCTGCTAGCCTTCATGCTTTCCCAGAAGCTGGATGACGATACGATTCGTCACTGGGAAACGCATCATAGTTCAAAGGACATTCCGTCGTACAAGTCCATGGTGGAGTTCCTGGAGAAACACTGTGCTATCCTGCAGTCTACGTCTGCACGAAGAAGCAGTGATTTCAAACGACCGTTCAAGAACCCAGTGATTCACGCTGCAGTGTCATCCAATGGAAATTGTCAAGTCTGCAACGGCGGTACACATTCCATTGAACAGTGTAGGCGCTTTGGGAAGATGAAGGTCATCGATAGGAAGGGGATTGTTCGGAAGCTTGGATTGTGCTTGAACTGTTTACGATCAGGGCACTTCGTTATGGATTGTTCGAGATCTACGTGTAGCAAATGCGGACAGAATCATCATTATCTGCTTCATCCGTACGTGAGTCCAGTGAATCAGGAGCATACTTCTAGTCAGCCCTCCTCCCAAGTTTTACCGAAGAGACCTCAAGCCGCGAATCTACCACAACAGCAATCCAATCAGGCCCAAAACCGGAACACTTCGCTCCCCAACCCACAGTCTACACAAACACCAAGTACTTCTTCGCAGAATGCACGCCCACCTCCCACCAATACTCCAACAATACACCACACTGCAACACCATCCAAAACACACCATCATTCAAACATTGCGCTACTTTCTACCGCTATCGTGAAGCTCGGTGATCGTCACGGAAACACCATTCTTGCACGCGCTTTGTTAGATAACGGATCTCAGATCTGCTTAATGTCTGAAACGTTGTCTCAGAGGCTGAACTTCCAACGGCTTCGGGAAAATCTGCCTGTAAAAGGAGTGGGTGGTTGTTCATCTGTTAGTAAGCAAGCAGTGTTAGCAACGGTCTCATCGTGTACCTCATCGTATGTATCGTGTGAGCTGAAGTTCTACGTGTTATCAAAAATTACGTCAAACCTGCCACAGCAAAGCATCGATGTTTCGTCCTGGAATCTCCCAGAGGGAATTACTCTTGCGGATCCAGCCTTCAATGAATCCGGAGACATCGATGTGATTTTGGGAGCAGTAATTTTCTACGATCTTCTGTTGAATGCCCAGCGGAAGCTCTCTAATTCGGGAATAATACTGCGAAATACGCAGCTGGGATGGATTGTTGCCGGGGGAATTCCTGAAACATCAATCGTGAGCTACAGCACGGTAGCTTCGTCGTCGGTGACTACGGAAGAACTTTACGAGGAGCTAGCCAAATTCTGGGAATTAGAATCATGCCACACGAAGAGCTGTCTATCCATCGAGGAGTCTGCATGTGAAGCCATCTTTGAAGAGACGACTACTAGAGATCCTGATGGGAAGTTCCGCGTAACGCTGCCGAAAAGGAAGCACATGCTGGAAAAACTGGGAGAATCGAAGGCGATAGCGAAGAAACGTTACCTTTCCATGGAGAAACGGCTGAATGCCAACCAGGAAATGAAGGTGTTGTACACGGCTTTCATGCACGAATACCTGTCCATGGGTCATATGACGGAGGTAGTAAATGACGATGAGGAATCTGGTCCGGAATATTACGTACCGCATCATGCAGTGCTGAAACCAGACAGCACTACTACGAAATTAAGAGTAGTTTTCGATGCATCCTGTTCCACGGATTCGGGTGTGTCTTTGAATGACGTCTTAATGGTGGGACCTGTCGTTCAAGATGAACTACGAAGCATCCTTTTGCGGTTCCGATTGTTCAAATATGCTGTTGTAGGAGACGCAGAAAAGATGTACAGGATGGTATGGCAGCACGAACTGGATCAGCTGCTGCATAAGATATTCTGGAGAGATTCGGTTGAGGAGCCATTGCGGACATACAAGCTCACAACTGTAACGTACGGTACATCATCTGCACCTTATCTTGCCACTCGTTGCCTGAATAAGTGTGCTGAAGAGGGAGCAGAGCGCTATCCCGTAGCTTCAGTGGTGGTCAAAAAGAGCTTTTATGTTGACGACATGCTAGCCGGCTCGCATACCATTGAAGAAGGCGAACGGCTCTGTAAGGAGGTCCTGGAGCTTCTGAAAGGGTCAGGTTTCAACCTTAGGAAGTGGAACTCCAACAATCCGAAGATTTTGGCGGCAATACCCTCGCATCTGCGAGACGATCGAGAATTCCGGAATTTAGATGAGAAGGCAACTGTGAAGACGTTAGGTCTCACGTGGGCGCCGGCTACGGACACACTGTGGATCAAGGTTCCGGATTGGAGGCCAGGTGGGCCAATCACGCATCGTGTTGTTCTCTCCGAGATAGCACGTCTTTTCGACCCCTACGGACTAGTTGGTCCAGTAGTAGTCCAAGGAAAACTCTTTCTCCAAGAGATTTGGAAGGCGAAGTACTCCTGGGATGAACCACTAAGCAATGAGCTTCAGTCCCGATGGTTGGAGTTCAGAACCAATCTTTGCGAGTTGGATGCTGTATCTGTTCCTCGATGGATCAGGTTCGGAAGAGATGTAATCTCATGTGAATTCCACGGATTCAGCGATGCAAGCGATAAAGCATACGGTGCTGTGGTATACTTGCGGTGTGTGAACCGGGACGGAGAAGTCACGGTCAACCTACTGATGGCCAAATCAAAGGTTGCGCCGTTGGAGGACCTCAACAGAAGAAAAAAGAAGCAATCCACACCTCGGCTGGAGTTATCTGCTGCATTACTGTTAGCCCATCTGTATGAATCGATCTTCACCAGCATGATGATAGCAGCCAAATCCTACTTCTGGACAGATTCTACGATTGTAAAATGTTGGATTTCATCACATCCGTCAAGATGGCAGGTCTTTGTGGCCAATCGTGTATCAGAGATACAACATGTGACAAAGGGTGGAATCTGGAATCATGTTCCGGGAATCGAAAATCCTGCTGACATTATCTCGAGAGGAGCCACTCCAGCTCAGATAGCGAGCAACACTCTGTGGTGGAATGGTCCAGAATGGCTGAAGAAGGAAACACAGTACTGGCCAGTTAACGCGCAGGTTCCAGATCAGCAGTTCGATTCGGTGATCCTGGAGGAGAAACCGCTAGTGGCAGCAGTCCTACAGATTCTGCCTCCAAGTGAGATCTTCACGTTACGTTCGACTCTATTAAACCTTGTTCGTCTGACCGCTTGGTTACGCCGGTTTTCTTTTAATTGTAAACCACGAAATAAGTTGCAGAAAAGATTCGGGGTTGTAACAGCCGCTGAACATGAAGAAGCTCTGCTAGTTCTAGTGCAGTTAGCGCAATCGGAATGTTTCCCGCTGGAATTATTGGATCTTGCAGCAAAGAGTGAGGTCAGGCCATCATCGAAGCTTCGTAATCTGAATCCTGTGATGATCGACGGGACAATCTGCGTCGGTGGCCGACTTGGAAATGCTTCAATTTCGCAAAGGCGAAAACACCCGATGATCTTGGATAGCCGACATCCATTGACAAGGTTAATTTTGATTGACTACCACCATCGATTGCTGCATGGAGGACCGCAGTTGATGATATCCTGCGTTCGTGAAAGGTTTTGGCCATTGAGCGTCAGAAACCTAGCGAGGAAGGTAACGCACGAATGCATGAACTGTTTCAGAGCGAAACCACGAGCTCACGAGCAGCTGATGGGAGATTTGCCGCTTGAAAGAGTATCGCCAGCGCCGCCTTTCCAACGAGTGGGAATCGATTATTGTGGACCGTTTGAATTGCAGCCTGCAACTCGAAAGGGCACTCCTGTAAAATGCTACGTCTGTCTGTTCGTTTGCATGGTCTGCAAGGCCGTCCACGTTGAAGTCGTAATGGACCTTACGGCCGAGGCATTTCTTGCCGCTCTAAGGAGATTTGTTGCCAGGCGCGGAAGGCCGGATCAAATATACTGCGATAATGCGACCAATTTCGTTGGAGCACGCCGACAGCTAAGCGAACTAGACCGCATGTTTCAGCAGCAACAGTTTCAACAACAATTGTCCGCTGAAGCTGCTCGAGATTCGATTACCTTTAAATTTATACCGGCCAAGTCACCCAATTTTGGTGGCTTGTGGGAAGCTGCGGTTAAATCGCTGAAAGGACACATGAGGAAGGTCATCGGCAACAGGATGCTGAAGCAAGACGAAATGCTTACCGTTGTGACTCAGATAGAGGCGTGCCTTAATTCGAGACCTCTGACTCCCTTGAGCAACGATCCAAGTGACCTAGAAGTGCTGACTCCAGGACACTTTTTGATACAACGTCCACTCACTGCGGTACCCGAGCCAAGTCTTCTCGAGCTACCAGAGGGTAGGCTCTCCAGATGGCAGCAAGTGCAGCGCTACAGTCAGGTGATCTGGAAGCATTGGTCAACTGATTACTTGTCAAACCTCCAGAGTCGCAACAAATGGACAAGGCACAGGAATAACCTGGACGTCGGAGCTATGGTTCTATTGAAGGAGGACAACATTCCACCCCTCAAATGGAAGCTGGGACGCGTGACAGAGATCCACCCCGGTCCAGACGGAAACGTTAGAGTTGTCACCGTGAACACGAAGCATGGTTATTTTCGGCGAGCTATTTCCAAGATTTGTATTCTGCCTATCCGCGATAATCAATCCGATGAGTCGCAATAATGCATCACATTGAACTAAGTATTTCTGCCCCCGTTTGGGGCATCTTTAGGCATCCTGCGATATCTGCGATGTCGCTATTGCCTGGGGGCAACCCTACAGTTATGTATTCAATTATTTTGTATGTCCGGGAACATTCTGATGCGTTCTCCTTCGACAGTGTCCATCCATAATACGAGTCCTGCATGGAAACATCATGTGTTCCGGAATACACCATCGCTTCATCATTTGAATTTCATCTAAGCTAAGCATGCCCCATTGGGGCAACCGTTGGCAATCCCGTGGCACTCTAGTCACATCTGCCGAGGGGGCCGACACCTAAGTTACGTTTCATCTATCATATATTGAATTTTGGATCCCAATCGCTGTTGTTCTTTGACAGATATGGATCAACTCGCTAGCGGCCATCGCTTCGATCACTGAAGATCAACTCAGCTAAGTATGGCCCCATTTGGGGCAAATTGGCGGTTCACGACACTCCATGTCGTATATGCCAGGGGCCGCAGCATAAGTTATGTTCATTAGAGTTAAGTAGTATTTCGGAAGCCAATCGAATTCCCTTCCACCAGAATCATCTCCAAGGCTCAACCATTCGATGCTCGTTCCACGGATCAACATCCACCTCGGGGAAGCTCAGATAAGTATGGCCCCATTAGGGGCACATTGGCAGCTGACGGCGTTTCAGCCGTAATCGCCAGGGGCCGCCGTAAAAGTTATGTTTCCTAAATCCAATAAGTTTTTCGAAGCCCAATCGGTTTTCCTCTTCGACAGAAACCCTTCGACCTTTGACCTTTGATCTTCGCAGCTACTTCCGTTGAAAATTTCACGCCCCCATTGGGGCACACTTTGGCAAGAATGGAGAGTTTCGTCTGTTAACGTCAGGGGGCGACAGCTAAGTTATGTCCCTTCCCTTACGAATGTGTACCGGAATCAAGCCGTCTTATTCTTCGACAGGATACGAAGATCGATTCCACCTGCAGAAGCCATCATGTTCGTTTACCAAGGCGGAAGTATGTGAGCAGCGAAGTTAACGGAAGGTATCAGTCGGGATAAATGGATTGGGTCAGAAGTACCGCCAACTTTTGGTTCGGCTTGACGGACGGTCATGACCAGTTCCCAATCGCAGAGCACTAGAGGATGCATAAGTTTTGGAGAGCAACGTCACCGAGGATTGAAGACGTTGAAGAAGATCTGTTAACACATGTTGAACTATTATCATTTTAGTTAGGTATAGGTATAGGTATTTGAATTGTTTTGAGTGAACTCAAGGCGGCCGGTATGTTAGGGAAAGTTATATCAATAATTGTGTGCGTCACTGTAGAGTAAGGAATCTGATAATGAGTGACCACGAACGCACGACCGTCCTTGTGTATGTAGCCGAGAGCAATAAGCTATCAGTGATACGCTCTTACAGCATCACCAATAGGTAGTTAGTTAGTTACCCATCGACCGCCGACGGTACCGATCGACCGTGTGATCACGTCGTGTATAAAAAGAATTACAGTCCATTTCGTCAAGATATAAGTGCGTTTTAAAATATAGTTCTTCTTGATCGTATCACCGGGTTTATTAAGTGTTTAGTCCGAACAAGTGACTCGCGGGTGCGCACGGATTGTGCAAACGGGGAAATACCCAACAGTAATTCTTATTTACCATACATCAGGTCATGGTATTTCTCATTTACCATCCATCAGGACATGGTAATTCTTATTTACCATCCATCAAGTCATGGTAATTCTCATTTACCATCCATCAGGACATAGTAATTCTTATTTACCATCCATCAGGTCATAATAATAATGCTGTGAAAAATTCCTCAGTTTTTTTTTTTATTATTTCACTATACTCACGTTTAAACTTTATGCTGCTACCGGCTGCGCCATTGTCGTGACCGGAACGAGTTTTCCTGCCTCGGCCACGGCTACACGTTTTAGCGATGCAGCTCCCACGCTGCTGCCACACCACTGTAATTCAGTGTGGCTGGCACTTTCATTTCGGTCATCACTTCTAGTAGCAAACTTCCTAGCCACACCCATGCGAACAAAAACCATACTCGAGTAACAAAATCCTGGCTCATCAGACCAACCGTACAAAAGATCTAACGTGGTCGAGGTTATACTCACCGGGTAACTGGCTTTGACAGTTCGCTCCTCTCTTAGACTAGACCCTCACTAATTTGTATGTAGTCCTCCCAAATAACAATTTTGATTTTTTAGGGTTCTGTAGACCATGATTAAGACTTGTAGAATGCTTTGAAACCTCGATAAAACTTGCAATGTTACTTGGGCTAACTAATCCAAGAAACTAACTCAATTGGATGGAATCCCAGAGCGTTTAATTTTTCCGGCTAGCGTTGAGCGTGGGTCAACTGTGCATTGGGAATTACTCACCAACGGCAATTGAGTGCCAGGAAGACGACTTCTGCATTTGAAACCTGTCGATCCCATCAACGCATGGGCCAGGACCAACGCCTTTACTTCCCTTGGATCATTTTTAGGACGCTGGCCGAGTATAAGTTAATAGCTAAGACACCAATGGCCTACATTTTCGAATTGCAACATTTCGACTTAAATAGGCGAAAACATTATTGGACAATGCATAAACAACGTAGCATTTGTAAAAGGGGAGGGTTAGTTCTGAAGTTGTGATCGGCCTTGTTTTTGAAAAGAAAAAAAAATACGCCACGAGAGGGAAAGGAGCTTATGTAAATTAGGTCAACGATTTGCAACGTCATTTATGGATGTACCTTAAATTATATTCCTTGTTTATCTTGTTTAATTAATCTAGATGATTATAAAATGTTTTATAGGGAAATGGATGTAATGTCGGCCTAAATGCCCCTAATTTGGGCGCATACATAAATTCAGCAATCGGCTAAATTTTCAATAGCGACCAAAATATTCATTAGTACCGTCCCAATGACGCGTCCATCTAGATGAAATTGATAAATCGCAGATTTTTAGCAATGGGCCCAATCTTAGATCTACACGCCAACATTACAGCCATTTCCTCTATTTGAAAAATAAAATTTTCACAGATGGAATTTTTTAAATCACACAGTTTATACATTTAGAGGTCCCAAAACTCGCCTTTAAACATAGCTTGGGCCTCAAAGCTCTTTCCATCACCTCTTAATTGTGTCTATACACCTTGCCCCTTCGACGGAATTGAATCCCGGAACCGACGGCCCTCGTCTATTCCCAGAAGTCAGCTTTTTAATTTATTCGTCCAGACAAATCGCTGAGCTGCAAATGCGATTACGATTTCTCGCTATGGCCATCAGCCTTGTCGTCTCTGTGGATTCTTCCGAACCAGGACCGTGTTCAATTTCACTTTTAATAGCTGGCTTTGGAAGAAAGGAAGAAAAAACCGATCCCCGAACGTTCAATCCGCAAAGAATTTGACGAACATTATGAATTATGTGTGGCAGTCGGTGGCTGGCGTTCCGTTCTGGCTGGATTTGAACGGCGACGGCAACGACGACGACGGATTCGATACCGGACCCAACAACGTAGCACTGCCATCAATTATCCTCAATTTTCGATTGGCGTAGCGATTTTATAATCACTTTTTACCACTCCGCTAACCCGACCTTCCATCCGTCTTCTGAACAGAGATTCGTCCGTCCGTCCGTCCGGTCGGATATCGAAGAACCGGACGGCAGCGTTCCGCAAAAATTCCGCCGAGTCAGTTATAAATTATGATTTAATTTCAGGGCTCGCTGCGGCTGCTAGCTCTCGATTTGGATGTGACGGATTTTTTTTTTCGTCCGTGTGCTGCCATCCTTCTTGATGTAGTTCTGATGATAGTTCTTCAGCGAGGTGCAATGGCCTCCAGCGTCATCGTGGTTGAAGATTCGCAAAACTCTGACACATGGTAGCGGAACGGAGCTATCTGGTGTCTAGTGTTGCACTAATTTCACTTTCAGCGAGAAACCAGCGGTAGGTTTGAATCAGGATTTTGTTACAAAAAAAAAAAAGATGGGTTGATGCTTCCTGATAAGCTGAACGCAAACTTGTTAAACTTTATGAGTGGCTGAATAACAAACACATAGCCGTCTACTGTTAAATTCAAACATCCTCCAATCGACCCACCGTCCACCAAGAGCCTGGTCCCATAAAAGGTGGGCAGGAAAAATTAGTGCAATGTGGCCAAAAGCGATCGAACGCGAAAGCGGTTCTGCTGATTTATAATTATCCTTTTAAAATAAATTATCATTTATATGATGGCTCTTCAGGTTCACACGCACACCCGTACGGGGCGGTTGATTGGTTCGGTCTGGGCTGATGTACAACTATCAATCATCGTCGTCGTAGTCGTCGTTGTCCTCGTCCTGCTTGCTCGGGGGAATCAGATGACCGTGAATCATTCTGCTGGCCTGGGCTTGGACAAATCGAGACACTAGTAATTAAATATCCTCGAGTTGTTTTTTGTCTTGCTCAATGCCGCACATGTCAGGTCAGCAGGTAGACTGTGGTAATGGGCAGTTTAGCACCCTGCTGTTGCTGTCGGGCGATGAGGCAATAGCTGATGGTGGTGGAATTTGATCGGTCCCTGAATTGATTAACTAGAAAATGATTGCTGGGTGTGATCCACGGGCGTCGCGTTGGCCTAGGATTTCCCAGGATGAAACTGCAATTAATATAGGGGCTGGGACGTTTCATAATAATTGGGCAGCACACGACAACGATTGCTCGGTGTATCCAATGATTCTGAGCTTGACGGTAATGAAATGACATTGAACTGGCCCTTGAGGCTAGGTAGAAGGCAAAAGTTGAAATCGTTGGCCCTTGATGAAGGTGCCAATGGTGAGGATGATGGTATCGGGATCAAAATTTACAGTAATTTAATTTACATTTCATCGGAAGAATAGTTGACTAGGATAAATGCCGGTTTGGTACAAGAACAGTGAACCATAGTCAGTCGCTTTCTAGGTCGTTACCTAAATGTCATTTCTTCAAGACCTGTAACCCATCGCCAGTCCGTTGCCCGGTCAGCTTCAG